AAGACTGAGTGCCTCAGGTCTCGAAAAAGGGTTTGACATGGCAGTTTGTTGTAACATGAGAGTAACTCCAAGGTAAATTTGGAAAGTTATTTTATCTCCTGTGCCGTATATATCTCGTATGAACCTTCTAACTGTTTATAGGGGTTTAGTCCTAGAAACACATACGTTATACTCACGCCATCTTTAGACCTTTCAATTCTCCACACCATTTCGGAAACGGAGGTAGATCATTGTCCATAAGTCTCGGAGCGATGACAATGATAGAAGACGTGCTCATTGGCATACGACACGCCAAAACCTGGGCTTTGAAATGAGATAATTCCGTTTAAAAAGTCTTTCCCAAAGGGATTTAATCGGGGTGGTGATGCCTTGAAATAGATGGGCGAGGAGGCGGTGCTCATGAAGCAGAGATTCCTTCGTCATGGATGAAAGGGGCCCCCAGGTTGGGTGTAGGATCGCGCTTGCGGCGTCTATTTCTTTCCCCGGTGCGCGTTTCCATCGCGCTTCGCCTTCCCCAAAGAGAGACCGACAACTAGGTCGAAGGGACTGTGTCTGGTTTGAGTGAATCCTAATCAGGCTGCCGAGAAAGTCAAGGCAGAAGGCCGCACGATGTCGGGGTCGGACTCGGGGGTTGCGGTTGAGGATCGGGGCAGAGACGGAGGGGGGTGGAGATCAGGCTTACATAAAGTCGCTACAGTGGGATTCTGGGATGGGAAAATAAAAATAGCAGTCTGAGCCACACACCTTGCGGGTGCTTCCCGAGTGGGACGTGGCGAGAGATGGCACGTGGCTTGGAGAAAGAGGTGTGGCGTATGTGCAGCTTACATAACACTAGCAAAACTCGGTCAAAGTGAGCAGTCGGGCGGATTCGATGTACGGAGTAGAGCACACCACACCAGCATTGAGAATGGCAGATGGATGTTCGTACCTCGGCGATGACTGATGAACCACTCGGACATTTCAGCAGACCAGGGCAGGGCACCTGCCACATTGGCTCAGGAAACAAGTAATAATTCCCCGAGTTGAAATCAGGCACGCCGTCAATACTCCGTATTACCGGGCCCGCGGTTCCTCTACTCCTGACCTTCGTACGGTCCCCAGCATCCCCATTGGCTTGTTCGTAATCGTTTTCTCCAAGCTCGCTTCTGCTTGTTTGAACTTTGGGATACCTAAACCTTCCGGGCAGTGCCGGGGTGAGCTATGAATGCTGTGCGATATTTTCGGTCACACGTACCCGTAGATAGATGGCTATGTAGGTAGGTAGGTACCTTGGGAGTTGGATCTTTTGGGTGCTGACCGGGTTCCACTCATGGAAGTCAGATTCGAAGATTCCATCATGTGTCACCTCCCTGCCCTTCCAAGCCTTCCTCGACTGAACGCTTCCGTGCGACCTGGCGATTGTCTTTTCCCATAACGAAGAGGATGGGCAAAAAGCCGCTGATCAAGGGACGTTCGGTGATTCGGCACATTGCAAAACACATTGGCTGCAGCTGTTGAGGCAATTTCACACCACACAGGCAAGGGATCTTCATCTCCCCGTGTCCCCCTCATCTTTGAAAGGTTCAGTCGAAACACTCACACGCCCACACGCTGTTCTTGATGGCGGTTGAGCGGTACCGGGAAATTTTTATATGGCTGCCTGATTGATGAACGAGATGCGGTTCCACGCGACCAGTGCCACAGATGGGGAGTCTGGTTTAGGTACCTTGGTTTTCGAGAGTCAATTCCCTTCAAGGCCCAATCATATCCGCCGACAAGGTCACGGCGGGGGAAGAATACCCAAGATCCAAATGCGATGATTGGCAGCTGTCGGTGGAGGGGCTGATCGGCGGACTCAAAATGGAGACCCTTGGCAAGCATGGGCAGCAGTATGGAGACGAGACGGGGGGCGAATGTCACCATCGGGACGCCCGAACTAGTCGGGCCACACGGCCGGTCGCAACCCTTTTCACTTACTGTAGGTACTCTCACTTGGTGTAAACTCGTCAGTGGTTTGAGTCGCACTGAGTGGCTCGCTTCGTTGTTTTGCGCTTTTGGTGGTTGTTCAGCGCGTGCTTGTCAAAGACGCGGATCACAGATCTGACGTGACACGGAGGGAGACCGTGAGGGCACGCATGGGGGGATGGGGGCGAAGATCGACTGCAAATCATCAGCCGGCAGCTCTTAGCTGAGCTGAAGGTTGAAGACTGTGTAAAAAGGGGTCTCTTGTTATTATTTTATGTTGGTTTTTTGAGGCGTTCAAGTGGCAAGATGGGTGAAGACGAACACGAAATGAAAGAGGCAAATTGTTGTGCATGATGTACGGCAATCTTGGCTAGGCAGCAAGCTGTGAAACTCGCATTATCCAGAGAGATATGTTGATAACATTGAGACCAAGAGAAGAGTGTCGTGGAGCTGCACTTGGACGCATCTTAAGACAGCAGAAGAAATGAGCGAAACGTAGTAGGCCTGGGGTTTCAAGTACGTACATACGTACGTACCTCTACCATGAACTTCTAAGTAGGGTGTTTTGAGGGCCTGTACCCTGTTTGGACTCTCCCGCATACCCTCAATGTTACGACGGTGCCTTGGGTGCCCTTGAGGATGGGGCTTTAAGCATTGGATAAGTAGGATATCCGCCATCATCTCTCAATCAGCGTGAGCAAAAGCCGCAATGGAAGTCCACTAGTTCATCATTGAATTCCATAAGTTACTGTATAGTTATAGCATGGTGGAGGCATCTCGCGAGATCTGGCAGCCTGTCTTGGTCAAGATACTAACCCAGACAGGCGTGCCAAAGTCTGACATGGAAGTCGGCACGCAGATTACGATACTAAGTTGTTGATGTCAAGTTCAAACTTCGGATTCTCAGATTCGGATTCGAGAAAGACGGTGTTGGTACGTATCTTGGAGTATCCCTGTACCCACGGATCTTGTACCCTGTACCTTGATCTCCCCCACGACTTACACCACCAGGGTAGTGACCAGTGACCATCACCCACGGTCCACCCGTCTCGAACGTCGTCCCGCCAGGGTTTCTCATCCTTCGAGCATCCCAAGCTGGGCCAAGCCTCCCTCATCCCTCACCCCATTCCATTCCGCCCTTTTCTCTTCCCAACCAGCTACGCTACGTACTGCTGTCCGCTTTCCGCTCTTTTTTCTCACTGTTCGGGAAGCCAAAGTTCTGCTAAGTCGCTAGCTGGCTGGCTGGCCTTCGCCCTCATCTTGGCATCCTTCCATGGCCGCATCGGGGTCTCCATCCCGCGTCTTGAATTTCAATTTCCCGTCACGCCAGAAAGCATCGTCATTTCATTATTCTCAACTCCTCCAAGGCTCCAAAGAGAAATAGGAACTTTGGCTTGCGTCGTCAAATTACATTTGCTTCCTTCGCTCGCGGCATTTCGTCCGAAGCGGGTACCTGCTGTTTGCCAGGCATGGAAGCGAGGCGCCGAGGGGCTGTACCATGCTTCTCGGTCCGTTCTCACTTTTGTTCGTCTGCTGCTCTGCTCATTTCTCTGCTCCCAGACGGTCGGTGAACTGATGCATAGTACATAGCCTATCTACCCGTACCTTACCTGAAGTGATCCCTCACTCAAAGAAGAGTACTCCTCCGTACCTACATCCATACGGCAAGGTCCCCGGCATTCGGGGCCGTGCTGTGCATTAAACGATGAGCTGCCAATGCCATTATCCCGTACTACTAGTCTAAGATACTTACCCACAGATACGGGTCACTCTCACACTGGCGTAACTGGGTTTAATTCTGCTGCCTCAGCCGCCCTCCACAGTCTCGGCCTCGCCTCACACCTCGCGCCTCACGCCTCATACTGCACGCCTCTCCCCTCCCACGCTCTCAAGTCTCACACTCACACTCACACTCACGCAGCCCCTTTGCCCATCACTCACTATTCACATCACCTTACATCAAGACCAAGACCCGATGCAGGTGGCAGCTAAACCCTCGTTCCCCCGGGCCCCTCTAAGGTACCTTAGCCTCCTTGCCCCATCCCTCGGACACCCTGCGCTGGCTCTGCTGCTTGCTTAGGCGCTTTGCAGCTTAGGTTCTAGGTTCCTCCTCCACGGCGGACCTGTACCGGGCGATGTCTTGCTTGTTCCGCCACAAAACTCCCCTCCTCCTTCCAATCCCAAGGGGAGCCACTCCTCGCCCGCGCTCGCCTTTCAAACGCCTCGCCTTAATATCAAACGTAGACTTCCATTCTTAGCGGCCCTGTTCCTGTATCTTACCTCGCTTTCTATACGCTATACGCTTAGAACAAAACTAAAGTAAACATCCGCTTACATCGGAGGGATGAACCGCAGCATCTGATCTGACTACATACATCTCTCATTGTCCATCCATCCATCCATCGCACACCAACACGAAATCTGCTGGTCTCATCCAAATCCACACCACCTCATTCTTTGCCCATTATTGCAGAACATCTCACACACACATACACATACATCCACATACATCCACACACATCCCTTTGACACTAGCGTCCGAGCCCAAGCTCGGCCCCGTACAGACGGATACTGGCACCACATCATACTGCCATACCTCAGTATTCATCCGACTCTATCTCCGCTTTGTCCTACTTTCATCCTAGCCCAGACCGCCGTCGAGTCTAGGGCATCCACTCTACAGTCCGCCTCCCGTCCCTCATATCAACCACGGCCGTCCCCCCCCTTTCATCATGGGCACCATTTGGAGAACAGAACCTATCCCACCTCACCTATTTGACGATATGGCGTCGAGTTCAAGCCGGAAGCCCCAGATCTTCGTCCACTTCGAATTTGGGGTCTCATTCTCACCTAGACATGCACCCAACCAACACTCCGTCACATACGCCTCTCGTGGCTTTCGTGATCGCGCTCAGTTCCCCAGACAAGTTCCACCAACAAATACAAATTATCTAGCAGAGCCCTCACACTCGGCCCACCAACATCAACATCAAAATCAACCCACACGGTCTTCACCACCCATCCAAGAATACTACGCACCCCAACCGCAACCACCAATGCCGCCACACTACGAAGTCAGTAGACAATCTCGACAAGAGAGTCGATCGAGCTCCTCACACGAACGAGGCAGCTCAGCCCCGCCGCCATGGAACGACAGTCCCTGGGATGCCGAACCAGATGCTCTAGGAAGCTCAGCGCTGCCCCGTCAACGACCGCGGGCCCAGAACGCACCCGACTACTGGAAAGCGTTGCCTGAAGTACCCTCACGTTTCCGACTGGGCGAGGATGAGATGCCATGGTCAGCGTCATCGTGGCCAGGCGAGTTCGGCATGCCCGACGAGTCCGAGGTCAACGACTACTCTTCCGAGTTGTCCATGAAGTTCCGCGACGTCTCTCTCACCAACGCCACACCGGTGCCCCGCGAGAGGGGGGACGACGGGCGGAGACAGGAGCTGGAGGCGCTCTCCGCGGCAATGGTCACCGTCGACAACGGCTTCGAGAACCAGTGGTGGTACCAGGGCGAGCGACAGCAGATTAATGCACCGGGGGTGGTGGCTGGTGACTTACACACGACGGCGGCGACCACCGCGGCGGCGGCGCTAGCGAGCACGACGGCGACCGCCGAGGCAGTGGTGGTGCCTACTCCTCAGACCCCTGTGTACCACTACCACCAGCAGCAGCTTGGGGGCTATGACACGAGGGAGTCGATGGGGTGGGTGACTGCCCAGGGCGGGGATTCTCACGCGAGCATGATGAGTGCTACGATTTACAACCCGAGTGTCTTGGTGTCACCCATGTCGGAGTACGCGAGCCCCCGCCTTCACCGGTCGATGACTACGAGGTCCGAGGAGCTCTTCTTTCACAGCTAAAAAGGATACTTCGCAGTGGGGGATTTGAGCATGAATTTGTTTCAAAGCATGGCGTACGGGTTTATCATCAATGGATATGTTTTGGGATCACGGAGATCTAGGAGTACAATTGGGATTCACCATGGGCAAGTCTGGACAGACTAGACTATCTTGGTTGGATATGGAATTTTTATTTATTTAATTCGAGCTTTCTCATGGAGGATATATCCAACACATGCCCAATTTCTTGGACAAGAAAGAGGCCTTGATTCGAGGGAGAGAAGAAGAGAGAGGCCTAGGCTTTCTCCCTCCCTCGACCGAAAAAAATGATATTCTTTAACCCCATTCGCGGTTCCATAGGCACAGTTTACGTTGTCTTGCCCCTGTGACGACCATGTTTTCCTAACCACGAACAACCGGAACAACCCCCATCCTGAGACTCTTTGGTACAAACTTGCACACGGGAGCACAAACAGCTAAGACAGTCAGGGGCAAATCAACACACAAAGCGGGACTTGTTTTTGGGTAAGACAACGGACCAGAAAACAACAAAACGAAATTTCTACCTTGACCAATTGAACATACAGCATGCTAGGGTAGTTGGGCTTGTAGTCTAGACTCTTGAACGGCATGGGTGGGTGTATTCACGTCACACCAAGGAAACAGCAGTCCCTTTCATCCATTAGTATCGTTTTCATTATTTCCAGTTTGCGGATCTCCGCACCGGGATCCCTCCCGCTTGATTCCTGTATGAGGCTTCTTAAAAACATGGCCTTTGTCCCTTTTGAGATGTTTTACGTGATTACGTCTAGGTGGGACGCGTATTGATATCGTCTTGATAGCGGGCGTTCCGCGCGCATGATCTATAACCCGCCGGTTGTGTCAAGTATTTCCGACATGTTTCTTTTTGTGGAAAAACATTCTTGTCCAACTTGAATAGAAATACGGCGGTATCCTTGAACAAATCGAGAGGGTTTCAATTGATATTGCCGAGTGCAATGTTTTGAAAGAACAAGATTGGGATTTTGAGCTGGGGGGGGGGGGGGGTCCAAGTCAGAAACGGGAAACGGCCTCGGGAGGGACGTCGAGGTTTCATCCCGTTGATGCGCGTGGGTTGGGTGGGGGGAAGGTGATGGGATGACACCTTTCAGAAGTCATTAGCCTGCGGGCAAGTAACCTGGTTTTCCTTTCCACCTTCATGATTTCTATTTTTGTGAGTTGCTTGCTACCTCATGGACTACTAGTAAGTTCCCGCCGGTGAGTTGTATTGGATGAATCCTGGTTCCCCCCAAGGGGGAGGGGGGGTCGACACGGGGCTGATACTGAGCTACATCTTATAGGAGAGGGTTGGCTATGACTGAGGGTGGTTGTTTGTCCTGAGTGTGTTGCGATAGGTAGAGGCCGTGATGAAACATTTCTTCCTGATGCTTTCATCTTGCTGCTCACTGTCTCCCGCCATGTCAGACTGGGCAAAACGGTACTTCTAGCTGCTACCACTTGGTCAGGTGTTATCCACAGTCTATCTTGAGGCAGAAACCTTTTGACGTGAAGGATATCGTAGGTAAGCCGGTAGCCTTGAGGCTTCACGCCCATCTGCCTGCCACAGTGACCCATATGTTCCTATTACCCTGGATGGACGGCAAGAATTCCTAACGTGCTATGCTGCTTGCACTGCCTCATGAAATTCTATTCTGAGGGCACCTTCCGCGTTGGACCAGCCTTTAAGTCCGTAGAACGTGGCAATTGAAGAAGGGGCCCAGCTTGATGGCCTTCAAGACCTAGATAGACCCCGCGGTGCTATTGGTATGCACTAGAGACCCGTAATCCAGGTTCTATTCGAGTTTGATGATGATTTTCCCAACAAGAAAAGGGACGATAAGGCACGACTCTTGAATGCCATGCATGCTTTCCCATGTAACGTTTCACCTGAATTGCGGCATGATATGGGCCATCAGTGATGTTTCTTGCGGGGGAGGAGTAAGTCCTGTCGGTAGCTGGCTGTTGACACCAAATTTAGTTTCAGAAACATGTCCATCTCTCTTGCAGTTGCGCTTCGAAGAGACTTCAGGCTGGAAGTATGGCTAGCTGTGGGAGTTGAGTAATATCCCTCATTCACCTACAGGTGCCTTGCCTAGGCACAATCTTGACAGAGTCACCAAAGAAACGATACCATTTCTCAGAAGTCTCGTTTCATTGCAAGGTTTGACCGTACATCAAATATTTCTATTTACATTCAAGCGCCCCCATCTGAGCCGGCCTACTTTGCATTATGTGGATGGCGCGAAGGACCCGCGGGTAGCCTCTGGCGGCATCCGCGGTTCTCGCTGGGAAAAAGCAGTTTCATTCTACAATCATCTTAGTGGCGAGGGGTTCCGTTCCATCCCCCAACCAGCGGCAACACCAATCCTTTCGTCGAGTATCCACATAAGAACGATGCGGGTTGTTACTGAACATGAGATTACTCTACTTGGAAGGCTGCAATGCCAGGGGTAGGGGGGATGATGAATGGCACAGACTTTAGCTCTCTGAAAGCCCAGACAGGGACATATTGGTTGCCAAATAGACAGGAAAGAAAGGGCTATGTATGACCCCATCGCCCTTGGTGACGATGCCCTTGTGTGTCAGGTCTGTCTCTGCCGTGATGAGGTGGGGGTCTCTCAAGTTATTGATGATCTAGGGGAACATCGGTATTCTCATTCTTTACTGATATTTCAGAGTCGCTTATTCTAAAACACCTTAAGCTGCCAGGTTGGGTCGAGAATTAATGCTTGGAAGGATTCACTAAGAAGAGAATCAGGCCCCGTTCAAACAGCGACGGAGGCATTTGCCAGGGTCGATGGAGAAGGATTTCCTCCGCTGGAGTGGGAATACGCGAGCGTGTATTGCCATGTTGAGCAAGATTCTTCCAAATGGCCCATGGAAATCTCAGAGGCCTTCTTTTACACCTCTTGTCTTTGCTTGACAGTCACCTACCTCATATTTGCGATTGAACAATGAGGACAGCATACCTGCCATGAAGCCTGTATCCCCTACCTACTCCTCCTATGTTGAACGTATCCACCACCGACAGTGCTAATCATACGGAAAGAGGGCTCTCAAATCAGGCTCCAGCATTGAAGACCGTCGGAACGTATGGTGACAAGTGACCTAAGGGGCAGGTGATACGACGTCAAGCGGCCGAAAGAAGATGAATCTAGCTTGAGGATGCCACGGCAGCTCCCTTCTACTGTCATCAGTCAAGGACGCTGAGTTATTCTTGGAACCCGAGCCCTCTTCTCATTTGCGTCTGTTCTGATCACGGGAAAAGCCTAGTGGTCCCCGGGAAATCACATCAACATCTCAAGGCTTTTGAGGGCAGCCTAGTTTTCCAAGAGAGACATGGATTTCACGGTTATGGGGCGGGGCTATGAGGCCTCGATGTTGGGCCTGTACTACATGCCTGTTCGAGGCTCGAAGACCGGTCTAGGATTCAAGCTTTCGGGAGCGGACTTATAGCCAAGTTGCAAAGGGGGACAGATTAACGCGGCCGGGTAGCTCCAGGAAGATCAGGGCAGCTTCAATGAGTTGGATACCAGAGGCCGCGGCGAGATCATGCCCTTGTAAGTGTCAAGAAGTCCAAACCATAAGACACTCAAAGTAGGAAGATTGGAATGAGGAAAGTACGGCGGCTTGACGCGCCATACACTCGAGCGAAAGGAGTGGTTATTACTCAGCGAGAAAGCCACTCGATAACTTTGTCGAGCAGAGGTCTTCTCATGCAGTAGAAGAGCTGGTGCTTTCTGAGGCACTTTCAGCGCGAGTATCACGAGGAGATATTTGCGTAGAATCTTTACGGCTTCTCAGTTAGTTCTGTCCGACTTGCATCCCTCCTGCAAGTCATGGTTCTATAGCCGCCGGCCGGTGCAACCTCTTTCCGACAATGTCGGCGGCATGTAACCGCGGAATCATGGGTTTTATCCCTGCTCTTGATTGCCGAGTTGAGCCTTCAGGGAGAGACCAATCGAGCCGATTCAGCTCCACAGACACTCAGTCTGATTGCCGGCCGGATCAGGCTTCGACATACGGATAGAGACCTACGGGCAGAGGCCCCCATCCCCCACACCGCCTCTGACATGTGGCGTTCAGCTGATATCCCGACAACTAATGATTTGACGATACATAAAATCTCGGCAATAAAAGGGGGCGGGTGGTCTTGTGGTCGCAGGTCGGGGAATGGAGGGTGGAGGGGAAGCTGCAGGAGAATTAATTCTGCTGCCTGGAGGATGGACGGATATGCCGCGACGGGGATTGGGGACGACGTGGTGGACGCTAGTGCGTGTCGAACGATAGTCGGACCGTCTTTTGAGATCTGCTGCATTCAAGACGGGTTATGGATCCTACGGTAAAAGTTATTCAGTTTCGTGGCGTTAAGACAAAGGGTTGCTTGTTTGGTTGGTTCTTGGTGCCGACGATGGTTTGAACATGTGCTTGAGCAAGGTTCGTGATCCTATGATGATCCTATGAAGATGCGGGAAGGAAGTGGTGATGGGTCTCATTTGGGATACTTAAAATAATCTTGAGATTTGACAACCGTTTGGCTTAGTGGTAGGCTCCATATATTGCTCGCGAACATAGTTGACTGGTCCACCAACGGAGTTCACCTCCGAAGGGGGCTTGGAGAACGGCATTTCTCGTCTCGGGAATTCTGTCTATTCATTATAACCTCGCTACGCCGGCTTTATGGATCTCCGGAGTCAAATTACCTATTCTAACCCCCCCAAAAAGACATCTTCTATTGTAACTTCCATCGTCTATATCCCCTTCATCCAATAACCTTCTCCGTAGCCTCAACATCCATCTCAACCCTCGGCTCCATCTGCATCGGCACGACCATACCACCCGCAGCCAGTGCACCGCTCGCCGCCGCCGTCGCCACGGCCTTGACCATATTCCCGCAGTCTCCCACGGCGTAGACCCCGGAAACGCTCGTCTCCCCAAAAGGAGCAGCCGTCTTGATGTCCCCGTTCTCCGCCGTCTCCAGCCCAAGCTGCTCCACAAAGGGCCCGTTGGGCCTTGTAAACGGCGCATGAGCAAGGAACCCCTCCGTGACTTCTTCTACTTCTTCTCCTTCTCCGTCCTGCCGCCCGCTGAGTGTGAGCGTCACGCTGGTGCTGTGCTCCCCGCCGCCGCCAGCCATGCGCAGCAATGTGATTTTCCGTGTGTCAATGTGAAAAGTGTTATTCGCCATGGCAGTGATCTCTGAAGCGAGAGCTTCATTACCGTGCGTGTATATCGTCACTTTCTTGCCCAGTGGCCGAGCCATGTACGCGATATGCGTCGCCATCTTAACGCTCCCCGTCAACCCGAAGGCGAGGACGCCCACCCTCTCTGCCCCGCGCTCCTCGAAGCCGTGGCAAAAGAGGCAGTGGAAGATGCCGTAGCCCCAACAGTCCGCGTAGCCCCTCATGTCAGGAGAAATGTCCGTGACGCCGGTAGCCAGAACCAAGCGCCGTCCAAACCACGTTTTGCCCTGCTTGTCCTCGGCCTTGAAGAGCCCTTCCTTGACTTTTGTCGTCTTGACGACCTCGACACCGTCGGCGAAAGTCACGGTCTCGGCGTAGCGGGCTCTGAGATCCTCTCGCGCCTTGGCGCGGAAGATTGGTGGCGGGACGTGATCGAAGCCGAGGACGTTGTGCATGTTGCTCGCGCGGGCGTTGCGGTAGAGGTTTGAGTCGAAGAGGACTGTGGTGTAGAGCTGGCGGGAGAGGGCGGTTGCTGTGGCGAGGCCTGCTGGACCTGCGCCTATGATGAGGACGTCGTGGAGGGTTGAGGTGGTCATGTTGGATGTGAGGATGTCCGCTGTTAGTGGGAGTGCTTTGATGAGGTTTTTGTAGAGGGTGTTCATGAAAGTTGCAATGTGGTTGTGATGTGGGATAAGCTTGTAAAGTTGGGTTGCGTGTGTTCGATGAGACTGCAATATTTCTGGCTATGAATGAGGCTCTTCAATCGTCTTTTATACTCTTCCAAGTGAAGAACGGGCGTGCCGGCGTGAGACGCGGCCTTGCGGGATGTCTCCGAGGCCGTGAAATGTTGCCGAGAAGATCGGATCCGAAGTGGGGCGGTCTGGTCCGGGCAAGAGAAATGTCTCCGAGAAAAGGCGCCGAGTGATGAGCGAGCAAGTTTCAGACCCAGGAGCTTGGCATGACTCACTCGCAGGGAGATTGATTACATATCGCGCATGAATTTGAATTGTTCTCGATAGTGGTTGCCGAACGAAGGGATCATGTGCTGTACCTGTCATCATGTTGTCAGTCGATCGTGGTCAAACTAGCCCCATGAGAGAAGGCAGCAAACAATTCAGTCCCCCAAGTTTTTGGCTTGTAATTTGATCGACATGTTCGATAGAATTCATAAATTGAGCTATATCATATTGTGGTCAGTACTACAGGTAGTGAGAAACGGAAGTAGGTTTGGTCTTATGGTGTCTTGTAACCGCTGTTCTTACGATCACCTCCTCATCCAAATTAAGAAGCAATGATATTCGGCTCTTACGAATTATCCAATCTGATAATGTAGACAAGTAGAACGGGAGAGGACGACTTTCATCATGGACGCTTGAGCAAACTTGATAATCTGTTGTCTACATTCTAGTTGTACAATGAACACTAAACTTCAATAACGAAAACCAAAAAAGAACACAAATCATCCCACAGACATGAAAGAGAAACTCCTCAATTAAGACCAAAGTGCAAAAAAGTGAAAAAAGAGAGTAGCCAGAGCGGGGAGTCGAACTCAAGGGGTCGAGGTCCATCTCCTTAGAGACATGTAGAAATCCCCCGTTCCCAGCTGAGTGTTCCACCGCTGGGCCACGGCGCCTGGGGGAGTTGAACCCCCGTTTGCCTGTTGGAAGGGGGAGACTAGGTTGGTCATAAAGAATGGCCCGTTGCTGGATGGTTGTGACCTTGATGGGTTGGGGGGCAGGATGTGTGAAGTGAGGCTGTTCGTGAGGATAGAGTTGAGGGGTGGCTTGGTTTTGGTCAAGATGGCGCGGCGTTGCCGTGGGACTCGGTGTCAAGGGGGATGGAACTTACTCAAAAAAAAGTAATGGAGGATTGGTTTCACGGGTGCTGGTTGGTTTCTCTCGAGGCTCTTGATTGATTTGGTTGCGGCCGGGAACTTGATCAAACTAAACCGGGCTTTCATCTCGCCTCACTCGACATATCGATGTCAAGAAGCATACCCCATTCCTACCAAATTATTACAAGTCTCTTCTCACTCCATTCTCACCGAGGAAGCGATGACCATCTTCTTATCCAATCCCCCAGCCTTCCCAGAAGCCTCCTCTGGAATATGACTGACCTCTTCATTCTCAACATACACAAACTTCCCTTCGTCACACCCAGCACCTCGAAACCAGCCCCTGAAAAGCTCTTCACTAAAGACCAGATGGTGATTAGTAGTCTTGAGAACCTCAGGTCGGTGAGCCTCATGCTCCTGAGCCTTCCCTCTATGCCGTCCGGATCCCATCTCCCCCTTCTCATCCCCCTTCTCAAGCATCTCACCCTCAACCTCCGACCCCAAAGCTTTATAATCAACCCCCTCCACAGCAATGAGCACCCCACCAGGCCTCACCCTCTTCGCAAGCAGATCCAACATCCCCCGTGGATCATCAAGGTGATGAAGCGCCATGGATACCACAACAACATCAAACCCCCCCTCCGCAGCCAGCTTTCCATCCGTAGCTAAATCGCCTACGACCGCGTGGGCTTGTGATGGAGAGTATCCCAGTCGCGCGGCGCAGTCGTTGTAGCGTTGCACCATGGCGGGCGCGATGTCGATGCCGAGGATGGAGTCGACAAAGGGGCTGAAGGCCTATGAATTATGCATTATCTCGTCAGAGGGTATTGTAGTTGAATGAGGGCATGTAGACGCAGGAGTGCGTGGGACTTACCCATGAAGCACCGCCCGAGGCGCAAGCGTAGTCCAATAGCCGGACGGGGTTCGACGATGGGTCTGTATCTCGGGGACGGAGACCTAGGTTCGGGGCCTGGGCGCGGAGGAAGCGAGTGAGTTGCTCTGAGAACACCTTGATCCAGCCATGCTTCAGAAAGATGTCCGCGTTTGCACTACGGTCATATTCTTGTCAGCTTCATGACTTGAGAGAAGTGGTTCAAGATTAGAGGAAATCGGGATTGACAAACTCCCAGAAGACGCGGTTGAGTTCGGCTAGAGAGGCTGTCTTGGATTCGGTCGTGGTCATGATTGCAACTGAAGATATTTGATGGCTTTGTATTTCTATAGTTAATACACCAGAAATCTATAATGGTCGCTTCAGCGGTCTTAGGCGTCTTTATATAATTTGATACCATTTCAACTCGTCCGGTTCGTTATCCTGTGGTTGCGTTGCGTAGTTGTGTGGTTGTCTGTGATGCCGGAGAGTATTCGGCAACTTTTTCCACCAAGGTGCGCGCGGCAACATTGCGGCGACAACTAAAAACGCCAAACGACAGACCACCGCACGTTTTCCCAAGGCGGCGGGAAGCAACACTTCATCATCCTGCCAATCGCATCAAAGTAGTGATTTCTCACATGACTTGTCCCGTAGGCTCAAGGGCGGCAGCAGCAGGCCGTCTTCGGCCCTCGCCCATCTCGTACATGGCCCACTCGTACACGGCCCACTGAACGGCGTTGACGACAAAGGCACGCACGCTGCAGACCGTAAGGCCGCGGAAGAAGACTCGCATCCCGCCCTCGCGGTAGGCTTCTCTTGCGACCTGCATCGCGCCGGCACGCTTCGTCGGCTGCTGCTGTTGCGACGACCCTTGTGCCGCAAGCAAAGGTGACCTCTCGGGTGACTGTATTTGTGCCTGAAACGCCTGCGTCTGGACACGGGTCTTGATGACGTCCAGTGGGAAAATGCTCACCCACGTCACGATGCCCGCGAGGCCACCACAGAGTAACACCTTGGCAGCCTCCTCTTTCAGATTCGTCTCCTTCACGCCGTCGCCCCCGACACCCATCCACCGCGTGGTAATCTCATACGACCAAAAGTAAAACCCATACCCGATGCTATCCCGCAGCGCAGTCACCACGCCGCCAAAGTAGAGGCCCCTGATCCCCTCGGCGCGGCAGACGTCCTTGGTGATGGCCCAGCTCGAGGCGGGCGGGGAGGAGAGCTGGGCGCGGCACTTTATGAGCTCGGTCGGGGTGCTCACGACCCAGGTGGCGAGGCCGCCGACGGCGCCGGCGAGCCAGGTTGTCCAGAGGCTGGACTGCACATCGAGGGCGCGGTTGAGGGCGGCCTCTGTGCGGTTATAGGAGACGAAGAGGAGGGCGTTGAGGGCGCCGTAGCCTAGGATCGGGGCGGCGGAGCCGGTGACGAGGGAGGCGGGGGACTCGAAATGGCGGAGGTAGGATGCCGCTGCGGCTGCAGTGGGGCTCGGGAGCGGGAGCGGGGAGGAGGAGGGGAGGGGTGTCGAGGGGGCGGCGGCCGGGCGGGCTTGGAGGCGGACTTTGAGGAGGTCGAGGGGGTTGCCGATGATGATGCCTACGGCGCCGCTTATGTAGCCGGCCCAGAAGTCGGCTGACATGGTGGGCGGCTGGCTGGCTGGCTAGTGATGAGGTTTCTTGTGAGAGGATGTGCTTTGTAGCTAGCAGAAGGCGTTCGAGTACTTTAGGAATCGCGGTATTGAAGGCGGTTATCAGGGTCGAGGTAGTGATTGACCTTGGCTTGGGCGACGGCGATTCCGGTACATATGCCGAGGTAGGAGAGCATCCATCCGCCAGAGGCTAGAGCCCAGAAGCGGGCATTCTTGACGGGGTTCGGGTGCGGGCTGCGGACGCGGGACAGGTATTGGTAGTGTGCGTAGTGGGCGAGGACGGTGCCTCCGAGGATGGATGGCCAGTTGTCGACGATCCAGAAGATGCGGGCAGAAGGTGGACGGAGCGGGGTCCCGGGGGAGGAGGAGGAGAACGAGGAGGGGGAGGGGTCAGCCATTATGGAGTACCAAGGTAGGTAATGGAGAGATAGAGCGAGAGTGTGAGAGAGAGCCGTGCTTTGTTTCGTTTGAGACGGGGAACCAAGGGAAGCTTGGTGAGAGAAAGCGGAGAGGTGCCGGGGGACCGGGGGTCTTGGGATCCACCCAGACTAGAGACCTTGCGGACGGGCGTCTCCGTACGAATACCTAGACGACGTTGTAGTGGTTGTGGTGGTGGTGGTGGTGTTTGATGCGGAGCATGTGAAGATGGAGCCGTCGTCAGGCGTGGGGGAATAAGCGTCGATATGCAGCTGTGAGGTCAATTGAGCTTTGGAACAAGTCAATTGACAGGAAGTTGCAAACAGTCAGCGTACCTTGAGACAAGAATGTGCTCGGCGCAAAGAAACGTTGGTATGTGTGGCTGGCGCTGGTTGTGTCGCGTTGAAGATTTCGAGTTGGGGGCCGCAGAAGTGGTGGACGCATGCGAGCGAGAGGCGCCAATCGTCTGGTCCAATGTCTCACCTGATTTTGGGTGTCAGCAGGTACCCTAGAACGCTCCAATTGTGGGGTTCCTTTACCTCTCACCGACCGAGGAAGTACTTCGGTAAGTCTCGGTGTGATGTTCACCGAGGCACCCATGGATCCAACATTGCTCAGTTCTTGGTTTATTGAATAGCGGCTATTCATGCTGTTCGGACATGTTGAAGATAAAGGTATATTCTATGGCTACTAATAATATATGATGAATCCCGGAAGTAGTACCTAGCAAAGCTGTTACTGGATGCAGACGTCTTCCCACAACACATCCTCACCAACAGCCTCCCCGTGCATGATGCCATGTACGTACGCCTCCCCAATCAATCGATAGCTAAAAGGCCCAGAAATAGAAGAAACAGGCAGCTCTCGAAGCACAAGCGGCGATGGGCAACCAGCCACCACCCAAACCCCATCCCCCTCTTGCACGGATTGACCTCCAAGCCCCATGTGACCACTATCCGTCAGGAATGGCCGTCTCTCCCAGAGCGTCTCAAAAGCGAGATTTACATACACTTGGCAAGTGTGCTTGAAGCGATCGAACAAGCCCTCAACTTGCTCCTGCTTCTCGCATTCCTCGAGCTGCTTCAGATATCCCATGATGACATCGCACGAGGGCACCGTCTTGCTGACATCCGACGCGGCGAGTCTCTTGATGCTGTTTAGACGGCTGATGCGTTCTTCAATATCGGCGCCTTTCTTCATGGCGCAGTACACCTCCCATACGACGTGGTCTGCGATCCAGGAGTGAAATGCCTTCTGCATGCTGTCAGGGGCGGGGTGTTGAAAAGCGTCTCGGTCACCAATTAATGTCCTCCAAAACGCCTCTACTCGACACTGCCCAGTTGGCTCATATACAGGATCACATTGCAAGAGGAAGTCGGCCCATTGCGTGAAGCTTCCGTTCGTAGCTAGTTCCGAGTATACCTCGCCCACTAACGAGACCGTGCCGACGCACAAGGCCTTGACATGGAGGAGCTTGTCATCGACGACGCGGTAATTGGTCGGCATGGAATGACAGGCATCAAAGTAGGGGATCTCGGCGGGCCATCTCATTGCCAGAAAGGCAGAGGGCCCGTTTGCAGAGAAATCCGGCACCCAGGACGGCAGGCCCTCAATGTTCTTAATCGAGTCGTCGGGAACCGCCGTCAGAAGAGCCAGATTGTTGCACTCTTCTATGATGAAGACCGCCGTGTCGGTGTATATGCTGACGGCCGTGCAGTGCTTGCGGTAGTTGGCCTCCAGCTCCGTCCTAGTGCGGCCGCTAAGATCTAGAAGGAGATTGAGGATACCCAGCAGGCCAAATACCTGGTCTCTTGGGTCGGAGGCTTCCACTCCGACCGTCAGGCGTAGCATCAGAAACAACAACGCACCGGCTGTCTTGGTTCTACTGCTCCCACCCGTGCAGGCAAGGGGACCAACTATGTGATCCAGCGTGGTGCTGTCCCACATATCGAGGATGTCGTGTCTACACCTTTGTATCGCGACGATACCCGAAGAGTTGCTGCCAATTTTGACATCCTTGATCGTAGGGTTGTCGTCGTACAAAACCTCCGACAGCTGCTCGTAGAGGCGACTTTCGTACAAAAAGTCGGAGCAGAACGCCACCGTTTCCCACGGAATGACATCGTTGCCCCAGAGGATACAGGCGTCTTTTGACAGGGCCACCTCCTGGACCACCCAGACGCGATTGAACCACTTGCGATCGAAGAAGGAAATGAATGCGTACCACACTTCATCGGGAACATGTAGCAAGCCGTATCTGGTCAAGGCATCGTCGTCCAAGAAGGAGTTCTCTTGGTCGAAGCTAAAGTTCCGCTGGGTGTTTTCGGCCATTGTGCGCACCAGACGAGATACCTCAGCCGGGTAATGCGCTTTGGTGACGTAACCTAGCCATATGTCGACGCGGGTGGCCTTTTTGTAAATGCGGTCCATGATGCCCACCTGTATGCTGCGCTCAGCGTCGTCGGCCTGGTTGATGCTGATGGCGTCGACCCAGTACAGGTTGCACAAGTTGTGCGCTCTGATCCAGCACAAGGCAGCATGCAGATTTGGAAAGATTTCAAAGCTCTTTCCATTTAGCATCACTGAGACCGTTACGGGCTGCTGTTGGACTTGCTGAGAGGGCTCCTTTTCAGCGAGAGGCGATCCCCATGTGTAAGAGAGGCCACGGTAAGCTGGCAGGTCAGCAAGGGCGTGTTCTTCCAGTAAAAGTTGCAACGGTCCATCGCCAGGTGTCCCGCAGCCTAGGATGCGCACAAGACGAATGGTTTCCTTGCCGATGCGGTGGCTGTATTCGAACTTTGCTATAGCAGACGACGACATGGCTGCAGGCGGGGAAGCATCCTGCGCGGTGTTTGCCCTCCTCATCAGCCTCGCCAGATGGAGAGAACAACATGGGAATTCGAAGGCTTTTGAGGTCGCTATAATGAACGGAAGCCAAGCACCATGATTTAGTTAGGTAGCCACGTATGATTGTGGTAGAGTCGTCAGCTGCACCATTAGGACCAGGACTAAAACGACGCCAGCTTTGGTTCTCACGCACAGCTACACTGCGCCGTACTATTGGTCAATCGTTAGAGACATTTGGTAGCAAAGATGCCACTTGACATTGAAAACCGACGAAGGATCACTTTTAGAGAAAGTATTGGCGCGCCAACTTGTCGCTGAGTGTTTCGTGAAGTTGTTCTTTTCGACATCGACAGGTTGGAGGTGGAGAAGGAAGTTGGGTGTAAGTGGGCACGGACAAGGGGTGTGGGACTGACGAACGGTTCCCACGGAGGAAAGTCATTATGTAATCAATGGTGACGTAAGTAAATCAAATAGATGGGTCCTGGTGCCTGGTGCACGTGAAAGCGTGTTTGAGTGGCGACGCGAGTCGAGTCGCGCCTTGCCCCAAATCAACATCGGGCCCTCTGACCGGGAATATTGGTCTTTATTCTTTTCCTTCCATCTTCATCCGCTACCTCTCTGCTGCTCTCTGCGAAGCCTTCCACCCGGGATTGCGCATACACTGCACCTGCAGCATTGCTACATCACAATTCGCGGCTCAAGATGTACGCAACTCTAGTCCAATGCCTCTCCCACTAATACGACACCTTACTGACCCCTCCATAGGACTGTCGACGTCACCGCCACCCCGATCGCGAACAAGGAGAACGTGCCGTCTAAGCGATGGCCGACTCCGCAGTCCGTCGATAAATTGTCAAGACCGTTCAAATGTCCCGGGTCAGCAACGAGAACAGTCGCAACCGACAGACCGGCGCGAAAGAAGAGAAGGGTCGATTACAAGGGCGCTGATGGCGAGACTGACGCCGACAAGCCCTACACAAATGCCGATCGCCTGGCTTTAGCGAACCGAGACGCGAACAGATTTCCCGTATTTCAGGCCAAGGACAAGTCAACAGTATTTCGCAAGGCATTCTCGGTGCCTCTGATCAACAAGAATACCAGCGCCTATAACCCGAACCGACCTCCGCCAACTCTTGGCCTGCGCACAGGAGCACAATTCATTGCTAAGCCGTTGCACGACCCCAGTGGCGAGTTTGCTATCGTGCTATACGACCCGACCATCGACGATAAGCCTAAAGAGCCCGAAAAGAAGGAAGACAAGAAGGATGTCGAGGCCGAGACTAAGATTGACGCACCTCTCGTCCACAAGAGTCTGGCCGAAATCCTTGGGATCAAGAAGAAGGTCGAAGGGGAGCACCCCCGAGTTCCCGTCGTCATCGATCCACGATTGGCCAAGGTTCTCAGACCACATCAGGTCGAGGGTGTCAAGTTCATGTACAGATGCGTCACTGGCATGATTGAGGAGAAGGCCAATGGCTGCATCATGGCCGACGAGATGGGTCTCGGCAAGACCCTGCAGTGTATCACTTTGCTCTGGACTCTCCTGAAGCAATCCCCGGATGCTGGAAAGAGCACAATTCAGAAGGCCATTGTTGCGTGCCCTTCCAGTTTGGTGCGCAATTGGGCCAACGAATTGGTCAAGTGGCTTGGTGCCGACGCCGTCACGCCTTTTGCAATCGACGGAAAGGCGTCCAAGGAAGAGCTCACGCGACAGCTGCGTCAGTGGGCTATTGCGAGTGGCAGATCAGTCACAAGACCAGTCATTATCGTTTCTTACGAGACCCTTCGTCTCAACGTTGAGGAGTTGAAGCACACCAAGATCGGCCTTATGCTTTGCGACGAGGGCCATCGTCTCAAGAACGGAGACAGCCAGACTTTCAGCGCACTCAACAATTTGAACGTCACAAGAAGAGTCATTCTGTCCGGAACGCCCATTCAGAACGACTTGTCCGAGTACTTCTCCTTGATCAGCTTCGCTAACCCGGATCTTCTGGGTACTCGCCTAGAGTTCCGTAAGAGATTTGAGCTTCCGATTCTCCGTGGACGTGACGCCGACGCGCTCGAGTCTGAAAGGAAGAAGGGCGACGAGTGTCTGTCCGAGCTCTTGGGCATTGTCAACAAGTTCATCATTCGCCGCACCAACGACATCTTATCCAAGTACCTGCCCGTCAAGTATGAGCATGTCGTGTTCTGCAATCTTGCACCCTTCCAGCTCGATCTTTACAACTACTTTATCACCAGTCCAGACATTCAGGCGCTTCTCCGTGGCAAGGGTAGTCAGCCCCTCAAAGCCATCAACATCCTCAAGAAGCTCTGCAACCACCCGGATCTGCTCAACATTTCGGACGATTTGCCTGGTTCGGAGAATTGCTTCCCTGATGACTATGTCCCGAAAGAGGCACGTGGCAGAGATAGAGATATCAAGCCCTGGTACTCAGGCAAGATGCAAGTCCTTGACCGCATGCTCGCCCGTATTCGCCAGGACACAAACGACAAGATTGTACTTATCAGCAATTACACACAGACGCTTGATCTGTTTGAGAAGCTCTGCCGTAACCGGGCGTACGGCTGCCTGCGCCTCGACGGCACCATGAACGTCAACAAGCGCCAGAAGCTCGTTGACAAGTTCAACAACCCGGATGGAGAGGAGTTTGTATTCCTCCTCAGTTCCAAGGCTGGTGGCTGCGGTCTCAACCTCATCGGCGCCAACCGCCTGGTCCTCTTCGACCCCGACTGGAACCCCGCCGCAGATCAGCAGGCCCTCGCTCGTGTCTGGCGTGACGGCCAAAAGAAGGATTGCTTCGTCTATCGCTTTATCGCCACAGGAACCATTGAAGAAAAGATTTTCCAGCGCCAGTCCCACAAGCAATCGCTGTCCAGTTGCGTCGTCGACTCCGCCGAGGACGTTGAGCGGCACTTTTCACTCGACAGTTTGCGCGAACTGTTCCAGTACCGGCCCGGCACAAAGTCTGACACGCACGACACGTTCAAGTGTAAGCGGTGCAAGCCTGATGGCAGGCAGTATATGAAGTCGCCCGCCATGCTGTACGGCGACACGAGCACGTGGAACCACTTTGTGAATGAGGGGTTGAAGCCGATTCAGGATCTATTGCTGAGGCAGGAGTGTGGGGAGCCGGAGGTGTCTGCCGTGTTCCAGTATATTTCGCATTAGAGTGTCGTCGTTTTCGACGGATGGTTATGGACTTGCACGCATTATGAACTTGTGGCTTCTTTCCCTGTTTGAAAGTCAACAGAGAGGAGGCGTTTGGAGTCGTATGAATTTGGGATGGCGAAGGTGTTAAGGGGGGGGGGGGTGGTTTGCTTGATACACTGGACTTTATGAGAGGTCCGTATCAACATTTTATATGGGCTAGATATATTCACGTTGTTAAAAAAAAGACGTGGTGGCATGTTGAGCGTTCCGTTTATATCCTTTCAGATCAAGTTTAAAAGAAAATATGAAGAAAATGTCATGGAATGCGATTGTTCGTTTCTTTCCTTTCTTTGTAATGCTCAATGCTGGGCGCAACTCTACATCAGAATCGTAAGGCTCTCTGACCTCAGAAAAATCTTGATGTGTGTCTATAGCTCGTCTCTAACATGCGTCTGTTCCGAGGGCGGCTCCTCCCAGTTGCGGCTCTTTGTGTTCTTCTCCACCTCCTCCTCCACGACAACAGGCTTCTGCTCGGACGCATCATCAACAACGACCTCCGTCTTCTTCTCCTCCTCCTTCTTGGGCGCCTCAGCGGGCAGACCCTTGCGCTTGCGGTCGAGGGCGGCGATCTCGTCGTCGTAGACGGTCCACTCGGGCACCTGGCGCCTCGCGCGATCGAGCTTGGGCTCCTTTGTCTGCGGGTTATTGCAGAGATCAATGGTCTTGGCGGCGCGCTGGCTCTCGTCGGAGCACCACGTCTCGCACCACAGCCACTCCTGCGGCAGGCTGTGGATGGGGATCTGGAACTGCATGTGGTTGGGCAGGTCCTGGTCGAGGTTGGCGAGGGAGTTGGGATCGGCGCTGAGGGAGTGGTAGGTCTGGCGGAGGCGGTCTCCGGCGGCGAGCTCGCGGAAGCGGCGGAGGTCGACGACGTAGAGGGCCGAGATGTGGTAGGGCTGGCCGCGGAGGTAGTTTGCCCAGTAGCCCTGTTTCCAGAAGCGGAAGCCTTCCATCTCGGTGCGGGAGTCGCACATGGGCGTGAAGCCGTAGGGTTTGCCCTCGAGGTCATGGTTGACGAGGGACATCATGTCGGTGCGGACGATCTGGTCGGCGTCGACGAAGATGACCTTGTCGAGGGAGAGGGGGAAGAGCACGTCGAGGAAGAGGATCTTGTAGCCCCAGATCTCGCGCTGCTTCTCCTTTTGCTGACGCAGCCAGTGAGGCCACTTGAAGGTTACCATCTCGTACTTGAATCCGTATTCCTTGGCCATGTGCGGGATGAAGTCCTTGAAGGAGGGGGAGAGGAATTGCTCAATGAACCAAAACTTGACCGTGTGCTTGGTGTTCTTCATGACGCTAACCATCATGATGTTGAGCATGCGCTCGTAGAGATGGCCGCTGGCGACGGAGAAGATGTTGATCTCGGCGTGCTCCTCGTCAGACGCGGACTTCTTCTTGCCCAGGATGCCTCCGGCGAACTTGAGGCCGCGGCCGACGATGCTGTTGTCCTCGGGCTCGGCCAGCACGTCAGACTCCCCTTGGCCTGGCTTGCGTGATAGGCGAGGGTACAAAGTCGTGCCTTGGAAATCCATCAGCACCACCTCGGTGCCCTCATCGCCGGGCACGGGAGCCCATCCCTTTGCACCGATGCTATCGATGGTGTAAATTTCGGTGCTCCTTCCCTCCTTGAGCTTGATGTTGTAAAAACCTGGGTTCGCCTTGAATTGGAAGTATCCAAGGTTGGCCATGATGAGAGTATCGGCGAAGTGAGGCTCCTTCTCAGTGCCCAGAACGACCTGTGCACCGCGGGGAGGCTGCG